CAGCATGGCCAAAATGAGAATACGATGTACATTTTTCTGTCATTTGCTAATACAGCTTCCTGAGGATATAAATAGTCAGGAATGCCAAGTACCCAGCTAACAGGTGCAGTGAATTCACACTGGCTACCCTTCGCATTTCTTTTTATTAGAAGGTTAGACTGCAGATTAAGTGCCAAACTATTCAGGTTTGGTGCAGGTGAAGGTGCAGAACAGCATCACAGCTAGTGTAATGTTGGTTTATCTTTCCATGTCTGGAGAGAGTAAATCCCCCTGAAATTTGCAGCTTGAATATTTGAAATTCATTTTTAAAAAACAATTTTCTGATGCTGAATGTAACAGTGTCTTTTGTTGTAACCTGAGAATCCCATCTGGGCTGGCAGTCCATGTGGCATGAGAGCCATGAAATTGCACAAACTATTAGCTGCTGCAGCTCTGGTAATAAAATATTTCTAAACCTGTTCATGTGTCTGTGTGGCTGGGTTTATCTTACACTAGACAGGACCTGGAGAAAACAGCACTGTTAAGAAGAAATGTGTCATTCAGGTGATAACAAGTAGTAAATTCCATGTACTGGGTAATATAGTGTTAGGAAGGATTGTTGCTGCATTAGAAATGTGTCTAAGTTAAAACCCTGGGGCCGTTTATTTGTTTAACAGAAGTAGTAGCAAGGAGACCGTTTTCACTGATAGTTCTAAGTACCCATGAAAGAGCACCACGATGGTAAATGAGTAGGTAGTGTGGTCTAGTGGATAAAGCACTGCACTAACCTCAATTTGAGATGTGGGTTCTTGTCTTAGCTCTGCCATTGGCCTGCTGAGTAATCTTGGACAAGTCACTTCCCTTCTCTGTTCCTTAGTTTCCCCAGCTGTAAAGTTAGTATAATGATACTGATCTCCTTTTTAAAGTCCTTTGAGATCTCCTGATGAAAAGTGCTATAGAAATGCTAGGTAATGGCAGAATTATTAATAAGATGCAGGCTTGTCTATCAATTTAGACTATTGTTTCTTAGAGCAACGTTGGTTTTCATTCCTCATATCACAGACCTCTTCAGGTTAAGAACAGAAGATGGTTGGGAGGTAGGGCCAGTTGCCAGTTGTGCCATTGGTTTTAGTTGGACCAAGATTTTACCTCAGTACACAAAGTCTTTACCTCTGGAGGCTAAGCTAAAATCTGTTTGGTTTATAGTAGAATGATTTTGCTGGTTTGAGTCTGGTCCCAGCTGTGTTTATCCAGGTCTCCAAACCACCATTCAGTTGGGCCGGATTGTCCAGCTCTGTTCTGAAAAAGCCAAGGCCTCAGAGTCCCACAGTTCGGTGTGCTGTGATTGGCATGTGTTGGCAGAGCAATCTGGGAGAAGACTGAGCATCTCTGATTCGCAGCAGGGTTGGCTCTCACTGTTCTCTTCATTGGCTTGTCCAATTCATCCCACTTTTGAACTAATAAAACCTCAAATCGTCCCCGTCCCCCCAACTCAACACCAGAATTATTGTGCTCACCTTGTTTGGTGTTTCATTGGAGACTGGCTGATCTTTACAGGATGATAAAATATACACATGGCTACATTATCAGGAACATGCATCTGTGTATACAAAGAAAGTGAGAGCTGCCAACCTTGCTAAAGACCTGATCCAACCCAATTGGAATGACTGGGATACCCTTAAAAAGTGACAAAGAGTCCTGTGGCACCTTATAGACTAACAGATGTATTGCAGCATAAGCTCTCGTGGGTGAATACCCACTGCGTCAGGCACATGCCCTTGCGATACCCTGGTAACTGGGCTTAACATCTCAGCACAACTACTTCTGTATGCTGTTTTTGCTATTCAGCTGCTGTAATGAACAGAACAGGCTCTGGTAATTTCTAGCAAACTCTGAGGTCTCACTTGTGAGCCCTATAATCCAGTGCCTGGAATTATTCCCTTTCACAGTGTATCGAAATAGGAGTATCAGATATTTTTATCACAATTGCTTAGCCGTTGAGTCTTCCTGAATGTTTGGGTGCAGTGAAATAAAGTGTATTGTTTGGAATGTTTGACTCATTTGCAAACTGACAAATAAGTCATACCACTGGAATTGAAAGCCATTAGAACATTCTGTCATATTATATTACATAATGGAATGTCAACATTTTAAATGCATAATGTCAGACCATTTTGTTTTTAAACTGTTAATCAGAGGCTTCCATAATGGTGTGATTGTAGATGGGAGCATGGGTTAGAGAAAATGGGACTCAGATGAAACCTGAACTCTTTCCCTCTAACAAACCGATAACCTTCCTTAGCACTGCTGCTCTTTAGTATTCCAATTTCCCTTCTCCTTCTTTCCTTCAAAGACAATCACCTGATCTCCCCAACGCTAACCTGGACTTTCAGCCATTATCAGTTTCTCCTCAAAATCCAATTATCTTCTGAGTCTCAAACCCTCAACAAGGAACCTTAACGTTGCTGGCATCTCTGGATGTCTGAGTCTCAGCAGACCTGTCGCAGTGTATGCACACGCAACCCCGCTTTGGGGCAGGGCAGGGCGGTGATATAACCGCAGTTACTCTCCCTGCCCTTGGGGAGACCACGGGGTTACAACCTAATGGCGAGAGTCAATATGGTGGCTCTCAGACACAGGGCAGCATGGCCTAATGGCCAGAGTCAATAGGGTGGCCTTTGGACACAGGGTAGCACAGCCTAATGGCTAGAGTCAATATGGTGGCCCTAGGACACAGGGCAGAGTCAATATGGTGGGGAAAGGTGGGGCCACCCGCAGGGGGGTTACGGCCTGGGTAGGGGGGGCCCTAACAGTGATGGTGTGGTCCATCACTGGGTCAGCGGAGAATCCCACCAAAACACGCTGACCTCATTCGGCTGGGAGATACCACTTGCTCGCCCTCCCTGCGTCTCTTCCTATCGTAGTTCCAGAGCTCCTCAGCGTGGATGGTCTTCCGGGGCTCCTTGGGCTCCAGGCCTCCAATCGGGCTCTCC